AGAGAGAGAGAGAGAGAGAGAGAGAGAGAGAGAGAGAGAGAGAGAGAGAGAGAGAGAGAGAGCAGATTGGACCAAAGGATGACCGTGGGTGGCAACCCTCGACCAATCTCCTTGACATTATTGTCCCACTGATCTACCTGCAGCATTGCTTGCACTCTCATTAATGACTATGGGTCCAGACTCCATAGTCTAGGCTGAAGGTGGCAGTGTTATGCTTCTGATGAGATCTGCAGCTCTTTTCCAGGTGAAGCTGTACGTCCTGTTCCCTGTGCTTCTCTGCTGGGATGCCATGCCGTCTTTGTGCCCGCATTACATTCGCTCAGTCGTCCAGTGCATATCAGCAAGTGCAGGTCTTTGCTCCATTGCACCTCAGAGGCTCAGACTGTTGTACCATCTGTTCACAATCGTAGAAAGGCCCTTGTCTTTTTGCTGCCCAGCTCATCTACTGCAACTAGTTTCTTACTTTGTCGTTCAGTAAGTGTGCATTGGTTGCTTACCATGGCATCTAGGTCTCCTTATTTGCTGACAAGTTGACATCCTGCCACTGTGACATGTTTCTGTCTGTTGTACTCTGTACCCTATTGGCCTATACTGTTGGCCGATCATTTTTCGAAAAACGAGGGGGGTAGCCCAGGACCTTTTTGTATCCGTTTGCGCACATCAGGATTCGAACTCATGCCCTGTTTATTAAAAGTTACATCTGTAAGATTCTCTATACTATTCAGCCACATGGGCTCTATTCTGTTGGTCAATTTGGTCCCGTAATCCTTGTTTGTTTGTTTGTTTGTTTGTTTGTTTGTTTGTTTGTTTGTTTGTTTAATTGTGGTCTGATTGACTACGGATCAGATATTAAACTGATAGAACAGATACTACAGTTGATCTTAGCCAAAAGGATAATCCTATTTATATTTTGAATTACTTTTAGTCAACTATTCTTATTTCTCTGTGTCCCTATGACATCAGGAGTCTGCGACTGGACATCCCTCCAGAGAAAAAGGGTGAAAAGGCATTGCTTGAAAATGGCCGCCGAAGGCCGGAAAAGACATTGGCATTCGGGAGGCCACTAGGTGACTGTTTGGCAGCAACTGCTCCATGGCATGGGCAGAACACTGTACCCATGCAACAGACAGCTGCTGCCGAGTTGTCATGCGCCACCCAAAGATTATGGCACAGCCAACGCATCGGAACTTCCTGTCGCATACATAGTATGACGACTGCGACTCTTGCTCCTACAGCAGTTAGTTCCATGGTTGGGAGGATGTGGCATAAGGCAGTTTGCTCCTCTCACCACTGCCACCTGTCAATATGGCAGCAAGTTCTGGGCAAAGGGGCAAAGCGTAGAATCGACCAAAGCAGCGCTGGCATCGGTGAGCAGCTAATGGGATCCCATGCCCATGAGGGCAAATTTGAGGGCAAATTAAAACTGGTCGTGAACCGAGCCATATCATTTTTGGCTGTTGAGAGTCGGGATCCAGTCAGCAGATTGACTCCTAGGAAGCACTACTGCTGGTACATGGCGGAAAACGTTTGCCTGCGATGTTACGTTCAGAGATCACAGATTGAGTTTTTGAACCAAGTGTCGTCTAACGGTGCCTCTCTTACCCGTAACTGTCGTCATCACCCCCAAGGCAGTCATCATCCTCCGCCTCATGGTCGACGGATGCCATTTCTTCAACATGATTGGTCTCAACCAATGGATTTGATTCCCAAGTCAGCATATGGAACAGGTGTCCATGAGGAAGATGCCAGCAACTCTGGGCGAGTAGTTCTACAATCAGCGGTCGGCCACATTGGCTATGGCTGGGGAGAGCCTGCTGCTTGCATGCTGGGTTTAACTGCCATCGGTGGCTCTCTCTATCTTTTGGCTGGAAGACGAAATGTGCCAGTCTCTGTCCGAGACGTAAAGTACACGGGCATGGGATGGACCCGGCGGAGATGTTGGCCCTTGGGTGTCCGCATTGCTACCTTTACAGCAGGCGGACGAGAGGGTGAAGAGGACGGTGATTTTCGTGGTCCTGTCATCGCTCAGTCTGCTGAGGGTTCAAAGCCGCCGGTTGTGACAGTTGCCGAGACATTGTCTGGACAGCATCCTGGCGGTCCCAAGCTTGATAGCCCTGGGATTGGGAGCAGGAGGATCGATCCAGAGGTCTTGCCAAGGAGAGATGCACGTTTTGCCCAAGCTCTATACCAGGATCATGACCAGGAACAGAAGGTGTTGACTTCCTTCAACACCCAGCCTGTTGTGGCACGGGGACAATGCTGTATAGTCAGGGAAGCTACCCAAGAAGAACTCCTTGCGGTTGCAGAGGTGCAGGCATCATCCTTTCACACACCCTACCGGTTTGAACCGCTCGATCGGTTCTTCTACATGCTCTTCAAGGTGGGCTGTTTGAATTGGGTCAATCAGGAAGTACCTCCCTCGCCCCCTGCTCCCCCCGTTCCATCAGTTTAGACCATTCTCAGGGCTGAGTTGCACAGCAGCTAAGGCCTGATCAGTTCTCCTTCAAAGGATCACCTTCTTTTTGCTTTTTTTTCTGACCGAAAAACTTGCTCCGATCTATTTGTGGGGAGCTGCACCGCCTGGAAACCGGGTCCAGCGTCCCATTGATTGACTGCTCCCTAACCCACCAGTACCTTCAAGCCTTTTTTTTTTTTTTTTTTTTTTTTGTTTGTTGAAAAACCGGTCCAGCTGTTTGGAGGGGTGATATGAGCAGCCCCACCTAACAGCCTTTCTGGTTGCTCCAATCTATTGGTGGGGAGCGTCACCTGCTAGAAATGGGGTCCAGCGTTCCTGAGCATGCAGTTTTAGATCCACATTGAAGAAAGAAATATTATCGTGCCAGCATTGATTGCCCCAAATAGCCGGGGGATTGACTGTGCAGGGTGGGGGGGCCAGCAGACTGTATGTCCTAACCCTGCTCAGCCCTCGTCCACCTTGACTGTGCAGGGTGGGGGCCGGCAGGCCGTCTATACTACCCCATTTATCCACTTCGCTCTGCCTTGACGGCCCCCTTCTCCCTCCTGCCGAAACTGTCCCCACAGAGTTGTTGCCGACGATGCAGCTGTCTTGCCGATGAGCCCATTGCTCTGTCCTCCGGAGAGTGAGACCTCCTATACTGCTCTGTACCACTGCAGGTCCACCATGGAGAGAACATGGGGCGGAAAGGGATCAGGGAAATTTGAATGAGGATGCAGAGGAACAGCAGCGTTAACCTTGGTCCATTCTTTGAAGCAAATAACATAGTCCCTCCTGAGCTCATCGCAACCGAGTTCCGGTAACTGGCCTCCTTCCCATTGAATGTAGGCTATCCTGCCTCCTCTATCCCTCCCCGGCCATTCCCTGAAAAATTGTTTAATAGCTCGTATTACGTTACTTTTCGTCTGGAACAGATCTAATTGGGCTTTCACTCTTTGGCACTGTGCCATGAGTTCTTCCTGAATATATTGCCTAACCATTTTGGTGACTTCCACCACCTCTACTCCGATGCTTTCAATCGTGTGTATGCACCGTTTCTGCCAGAGGGCCCAAATAACATCTCTCCTTACCGTCCTGAACATATTGTTTTTGAAGGGGCAGTTTGTGGGAGAGGACCAGGCTTCGCATAGGAGGGCTCTCCAGTCCCATGGCCACATGGATCCAGTGCCTAGCTGTTATCCTGTCCCACCAACGCCATGTGAGAACCACACCCTAGCACTGCAGAAAGATGTGCTCCATGGTCTCAGGGATCTTATAGTGAGGGAAGGAAGCCAGACAGGAATGACACCATGGCAGTGCTAAACCCTTTTGTTCTAGGTAGTTACGATCTATTAACCAGTTGTTTGTAGGGAGGCAGCGGTGCTCTATCTGCCACTGCAGCGAGGCCAATTTCGCAGGCTTGGACCTCGTGGCCTTAAACCATCGGACGTCGAACAGCGTCCCTCCCCACATTCAGCTGGGATAGCCATTGCTCTCTCCCAATGTCTTTCACATTAATCCTCGGTCTCAAGAGGCGATAGGCAGATTTCACTAACAAGGTGAATAAGGTCTTGTTTACCCCGCGCCCCATTTTACATGTCGGGTTCCATTGCCATTCCTCCGGGTCGAGAGGGAGTTCAGCAAGCGGGGTTTCGGGGAGAAATGCGAACCAGTCCTTCTGCGAGTGGAGCACCCGGATGTGGTGCAAATCCGTCTTTTTCACCATCTCTTTAACAATTTGTATAAAGTCTTCTTTCAAAAACAAGTATACCAATGTATACTCAAGAACTCTTTCCAAAATGAAGTTAAAATACACAAAACCATTAACCGATTGTCATCCTCCCGATGAAAGAGGTTCACCAATGCTTCGTGTGCGTATACCACCACAACATTCCCCACGCTTTCTGTGTCGTCCGGGATGGCTACCCAATCTCCGTCTTGTAGATACGGTCCTTTGCGCAGGATGCGCACCCAATCCAGGGGTACGGAAAATATCAATTCCTCCAAGTTTTTCCTCAAGTGGTGACAGTGTTTTAGGCTAGGTATGAGTTGTTGTTCTGTTCTCCAGTTCTTTTCCTCTATGTCCCATATGTTTCGGATTCTTACCACTCCCCTTCTAACCCAACTATTCCACGGGGGGTCCGAGCTGTGATATACTCTCCCCTACCAATCGGTGATATGCACGTTCCCGAAGAGTGGTTGTCTCACCACCTCCTCCCACCGGGCCTGCCCGTGTCCGGCATGGGGAGCTGGCGCCACACTTGAAGAGCCTAACCCAGAAATCGTCCCCAACCAGGTCTCACCTGGCGGCCCCCCGTTCTGTGTCCGTTTGGAGTTTGGAGGGGCAGGGTGTGGACCAAAAGCGGTTTTCAAGCCAGGTCAGCAGGTCAACCTCACGAGGGGTCTGGGGGGCCATTCGTGCAATTTGTTCAAAGGCCAGGACTGCCCATGGGAGGTAGGGGGTGAAAAACAACCGCCTGATCCACTGGACCGTCAATGTCGTAGTAACCTTAATAACTGGGTCCAAAATTCCTAGACCCCCTTTGTCTCTCTCGGTTGAATAATAAACGGCCAGGCAACTCTGTTGATCACATTAAGGAGAGTGTTGTTCCCCCTCCAGAGCAGCGCAGTAACCTGCCCTTCAACACTTTGACAACCTCTTTGCTAAGGGCCCATATCGCAGATTTGTACCACAGTGAGGCCAATACAACATTATTTGATGACCAGGGCTCTGCCCACCAGCGATTTCCTCTTGTCATTGCAGTGGGCGATCTTTTCCAACACAGGCTTCAATATCCATCGTTCGAGGCTGGCCTGCCAAAGGCTGTCATCATAATGCCTAGGACCCGGATCGGAGCCTCTGCAGGTAGCCATTTAACCCTTGGTTGCTCGGGCAGGCGCACCCCTTGGTGATGAATCCACCACCCCAAGGTCTTGGTCCCCCAATTGACTGTGATGTCGGACACTGATGTGAAACGATCCATGAGGTTCCTAACCTCTTCCATATTCGCAGGGGAGGCATCCACCATGACGGTCAGGTGATCTGCAAACGTGGAGCAGACGGGGATGGCTTCCTCTGGAATAGCGGAGATCTGAAGTTTCTTCGGATCTTTGTTAGTGCGGAGATCTGTTGCTAGCGCTTCCATTACAATAATGAAAAGGAAGGGGGCTAGCGGGTCCCCTTGGCGGACCGACCGCTGCAAGTGGACTTCCAAGGCCAGCATTCCGTTTACCTGGACTCTCGTGGTGGCGTACTTGTGCATAATTGCGGTCCATCTCCGGAAGTGTGGGCCTACGTTCATTTTTTCCATGCATTTATCCAAAAAAGGACAATCCACATGATCATACGCTTTCTCAAAGTCTATAAAGACCACGGTTGCATTGCATTTGTCTTGCCGTGTCAGTCTGAGGAGCTCATTTAACAAGTTCACCCTTTGATAAACCCTATTTGTGTGGGATGAATAAGGGTTTCTAGGACGGGGATCAGGCTGTTCGCCAGGGCTTTCGCAAGCATGTACACAATCGTAAGCAGGGTTATCGGGCGATAGTTCCTGATGTCCATTTTTGTCCTCCTTTTTGTGCAGCAAGGTGAGGACACCCTGCCCAACCAACTCCCCCATGCGCCCGGATTCCCATACCTTCTCGTAGTACTTCATAAGATCTGGGGCCATCTGGTCCCATAATGTTTTCCAGAACTCCTTTGAGAAACCGTCTAGGCCCGATGTTTTTTCATCCTCCATTTGCAGCAAGGCAGCCCAAATTTTCTCCTTGGATAGCGGGCGGTCGAGTTGTGTGTTCTGTTGTTCGAATAAGCCGTTTGTGAGCGGTTGTAAGAAGGTCGCAATCTCTTCCTCCCTAAACCGCTTATCCCACTGAGAACATCTGGACGTGAAGAGATCCTTGAAGAAGGACCGCGCTATTTGCATGCACTAGGGAGAGGAGGTTACCACTTCCTCGCACCCTTTTGGATCATACAGGGCTGCGATGATCGTTCTTCGTGTACGTGCACGGGCTAGGCTAAAGAATTTAGTGTCCATTGTGCCTTCGGTTTGGTGTCGTGACATTCTTGCTCTAAGTCGCATTCCTTCCCGTCGTTGAGCAGCGCAGGTTTGCAATTGTTGTTGTAGGACCTGTGTATCTGATTGATTGGTCAGACCTGGAAGTGGCAGTCATATGCATTGCATTTGGGTGATAATCCTTTTGACATGCTTCTTGGACTGCAAAACATTTTTCTTTTTGCCTGATACAGAAGCATGTACCCTACACACGTGATTGTTATCGGACCTTCTTTTTGGAGGAGATGAGAGCGAAACATCACCGAACTGGGAACGCTCAAAACTTTCTCCAACCTCCTTGGGCCCGCCCACCTGTGGTAGACTGTGCCTATCCTCGGCACCGGGTTAATCGGCGGGTGCACATGGGGTAGCTGGGTGAGGTACGGGTGGTTTAGAGGAGGATGATTTACCCCCAAGACACCACTGTTTCCCTTTGAAAAGTGGTTCTGGAATGTCCTCCTGACTGTTTTCTGGCTCCTTCGAAAAGGACTCTCAAGTCTCGGTCTCGTCGCTGTTGATGTCGAATTGAAACTTTGAACCTAGAGCCGGAAGGGCATGAGCTTACGCAGCTCAGGGTAACTAACCTCTGACTGTTTTTTCCCTTCTTGGTTGGCCTGAACAGACCTATACCTGGGAGACAATTTCATATCCATAAAATCATGAACCATCCATGCTGGTATGAGCACTCTGTTCCAGACTGTGGAATGTGTCGTGTCAGAACTTGAAAGGTCAGCCTTGTCTGTCTGGTATTCCAGCCATACCTTGAAGTCCCTATATATATCTATATATATATATATATTTTTTTTTTTTTTTGAATCCTTCCTCTCTTTACATACGGCCTTGGGATATCATCACTGAACTGACCGGCCCCAGGTAATTCAGAATGATTGTAATCTGGTTATCTGGTTGCATCTGGATTCGAACTCAGGTCTGTATTTCAACAGTTCATGGGTGTACCAACTGAGATAGGCCCTTTGGTGATTCCGTCCCTTGTTATCTTTTCTTTTCTTTCTTTCTTTTCTTCTTCTTCTTCTTCTTCTTCTTCTTCTTCTTCTTCTTCTTCTTCCTTATAAAAGGTCCAGGGTGTAGTAGCGGGTGGAAGCCAGGCCTCAGGAGATCCCGTAGTACTCATCCATTGGGAGGTCAGATGGATTGCGAGGGCCCAGGGGGAGTCGCCTCAAGGTGGCACCATGATTGACATAACCTATGCTAATGCTCAGATCGCAAGTCGTGATCTGCGCCAACGCTTACAGGACTAACCTGAACATCTTCGTGCAGACACTACTCTAATGTTAAGGACAAGCCGGGCAGAGGTGGGGTCCACGCATGTGCGGTCATCCCCCATCTATGCTTCATCCCACAGACTCTATGGGCAGCAAACCACCCTTTCGCTAAAGATGCGATATCCCACCCTCCTTTTGGGCAGCGAACCACCCTTCCACTAAGATGCGATATCCTGCCCTCCCCTTTCCTAAGCGTGGTGCCTCCTACCCAAGGCTCCCCCAAGGGTCCACAGTCCCAGCTAATTCCCCCAATGAGAATTCCCACGGACCCCGGCCTGGATGAAGCTCCACCCGCAGGCATCGTGAGATACCTGCGGGATGAAGAATCCCCAGCACCTGGCCCATACTAACACCCAGTGTGTGCGTAGGATTACCCCCCGAGATGGACCCTACCATAGTCTAGGTTCGCTCTGTGTGGACTCTCCACAATTTTCCTTTGTTTGCAACTACTATTGTTTTATAGATGGACAGACCATTTCTCGATTTGTGCTCATCATCTTGGACAGGGGCCGCGCTAATCTTCTCTGTATTGCTCCAATTTTAACGGCTTTCCTGAAGAACACTACAATTTGTGTGTCTATGAAAGAGATCTTTCTGGAAGGGTGAGCACCAACTATTTTCTTCCAACTTCCAAGGCTTTTGTTTACAACTGCGATTTTCGGGGGTTCAAACCACTGCATCTCACTGGCTGGCAGAACCAGCCAAAAAGAAAACTTAGCATCAGGCAGGTTCCTTTTTCTTTGGCACGCAGCACAAATCTGCCTCGGGACAAAGAGGCTCGGAGGTACTTGTGGTTTAAGCTCCCAAGTTTAAAAGTCTTACACGTCATTCACTGTCTTGTGTACTGTGAAAAAACACTACCCAAGTTTGGGAAAAGGCCGAGGCAATGTGCTAACAGCTGATGCAAACCCCCTTAACCTCACATCCCCTTCTTACTGCTGATAGTTTCCTAATTGCCAAGGGTGCAGTTTGCTGCCCTCTGCAGATCCAGCTGCAGAAGAGAGAGGTGCAGGAACAGCAGGGGCCTGGAGGACAAGGTAAAAGGGTGAATAAAAAAGAAGAGACAGATCTCTGGAGATCTATCCTATGAAACCGCGCGTTCATTGATCGTGACTTTTCTGTTCAAAACTTGAATGGAATTGAACTCCGTTCAATGAACGTGCGTGCACGCGGAGTTCTATTCCGTGCGGACCCGCAGGGAGGGTGGAGGAGAGGGGGGAGGCTGCTGTTAGGTTCCCTGGGGTTTGTGTCCACCTCCCCCGGCCCGAAACGAAAAAAAAAAAAGAAGGAGAGAGAGAGAGAGAGAGAGAGAGAGAGAGAGAGAGAGACGCTGGACCTGGTTTCCAGCAGGTGTCGATTCCCACCAATAGATGGAGCAACACGACTATCAAATCCTCAATCCTAGTGGTTCTCTTACCACCACTGGGATAGAGGGCTTGTAAATGGGCTCTTAAAAAAAAAAGAAAAAGAAAAAAAAGGATGTGAGCGCGAATCCCCCTTCAAATGCGAATTTGAACGCGAACGTGCGTTCATGGCATTCAAACGGCTACATAGGATCTCTCTCTTCTTTTTGATTCGCAAGCCAAGAAGTAGAGATGAAAAAGCCAAACCCCACTCAGGGTGCTATGTACTTGTTGTGCTCCTATGTAGAGTCAGCTGGTATGCTCCTGCCTAGAGTTAGCTGGTATATAGACCCAGTCTCTTATGTAGAGCTGGCTGCTACGAAGAGCAAGAGCTGGTTGCTATGCAGAGCTATGCTCCTATGCAGAGCTGACTGCTGTCTAGAGCTATGCTACTTGTATTTAATGGAATGGCTGTGTAGCGTTAGGCTGATACGTAGAGCTGACTACATAGGCTGATATCGTAGCAGCTGCTGCAGTTCTCTGCTGGAGTTGAGCTGCTGCGGTTCTCTGCAGGAGTCGAGAAGCTGCCCTCTGCTGGAGTCGAGCTGCTGCACTCTGCTGGAGTTGAGCTACTGCGCTTTCCTGGAGTCTTAGCAGCTGCAGCTCTGCTGGAGTCTAGCTTCTGCAGTCTGCTGGAGTCGAGCTGCCACACTCTGCTGAAGTCGAGCTGTTGCACTCTGCTGGAGTCGAGCTGCTGCAGTTCTCTGCTGGATTCAAGCCGTTGCACTCTGCCGGATTCCAGCTATTGTGCTCTGCTGAAGTCCAGCTGCTGGGCTCGCCTACCTTCTTCCCCTGAGAAGAACATATGGTCATTATGCCTGTATTTGGGGCAGCTTTCAGTCAAGCTACAGCGATAACGACCGTACGCTCTATTTGGGGGAAGACGAAAGTTGTATAATTGTGCGCCAGCTGGATTTGCACGGGCCCTGCTGTATCTTCTCACTCCAGCTGTACTTGCATACGACCACGGCTCTTGAGCCCTCTGCTGGATATGAACATCTTTCCAGCTGCTGAGCTCAAGCACGCAATGAGGGAAGAGATTTAGCTCATGAAGGTAATGAAATTATTCGAGAGGCTACCAAGTGGAGTCCTGAATTAGCTGCTGCTTGTGAAGTTTGGAAAGAGATTAAATTTGAATTTGAGACTATTGATACTCTATAAGTCTAATAAATTTTGTCCTTTTAGAACGCCAGCTGTACTCGTGTGCACCAGCTGCATTCCCAAAATGCCATCTGTATTCAAATATAGTTGCAGCCCGTTTTGTCACACCCCCTTTTGGTCCCAACCTCTTGGAGAGCAAAAACAGCGAATGAGGTTGGTACTCCGAACAAGATTGTTGCCCGAAAGATGAACTGAAGAGAAGGCATTGCCAATAGGCAATGTGGCCACCTCTGCAGACTGGACAGGATTGATTCGGGTGTGGCATGCGGTCAGTGTCGAATGGCAGATGTCATAGGCAATGTGGCTCCCACATACTCGGAACACATAGGCACAATGGCCGCAGTTGTATAGACACTGCCATTCCAGGCCTTGTCTATGAATAGGACATGCCATGTGAGGTGTCGTACATGAGTACAATTTGACTGTCATCATAGGTATGAAGACAAACACTTGCATGGGCTGTACCCTCGTAATGTTTACGACACAAAGAATGCGGCTGACATGCGAGCCGAACATTAGGTGGGTCATCACAGTGCAGCATCGAGCAGTTTTCAGGGGATTCTGCAACTGACATTGCATGTCTGTGGACAGCGGATGATAGGGCCAGATCCAAAGTAACGATGTTCTGCAGTTACAAAATCCCGTCTGCCACTGCTCGCCCTGGGGTTGCTTGCCTTGCATCAGGGCACACTGCAAGTGGTTCATTTGCGAGCCTGTTCTGTCTGTTACTCACCCGGTGAAGGTGGAGTTTAAAAAATAGGTGCAGCCGGAGGAAGTCCAGCGTTGCATCTAGGATGTGAATGAACAGGATGTAGTGGATGATGGGATTGAGGATGGTCCACACAGTAAAGGGAAACATACTCTCCATGACCGCTTCCTGCAAAGATTGGCATTGCATGTAGGACATGAACAGACAGGATGCGTCCAATGACAGCATCGAGGAGGGTCCACACAGTAAAGGTACACATACTCTCCATGACAGCTTCCTGGAAACATTGGCAACACATGGTATGTTGCTAGCAAGCCAGCAGGAAAAGAGACTTGTACTAGCCAATGAAGGTGTCGCATACCGTAAAGGTGCAGACCAGAACAAGAACCGACCTCTCTCACATAGTACAAGATAGCACAGCGGAAGGCTTAAATACCAATGATCCGAACAATCAATGTTGCCATGCAGACCAGACATACATCATCATCATTCCATGGTGTGAAGGGGCCTGGCGCTCACACAGGAAGAATGCGCCAGTCCCCAACCATACACAGACAAAGAAGAGGGGGGTTAGACGAACAAGACGGGAAGATGGGAATGTTGTCAACACCAAGTCTTCGGTACAGGTCGGAAATAATCCCTCGTCAAATGTCTGAATCCCAATGTCGAGTCTGGACCCAAATGTCGTCAAGTTGCAAAGTCACCAATCTCTCTCTCTCTCTCTCTCTCTCTCTCTCTCTCTCTCTCTCTCTCTC